GCGGCTTAGAGCTTCCTCACTCATGTGGTCTTGCATCCAAGCCATCGTGACTTTTCCCCTACCATTTGCAGGCTTATGCACTGCCTTCTCTTCTACTTTCTACCAAGCACCCTCCTCAACTTCAATTGTCACATTGGGTCTAGAACTAGCCTATATCCCTCTTCAGTATAGTTGTTAAAGTCGCACCCAGGCTCATCAAAACTCACCCAGAGCGCTTTAACCTACTAGGATACTACAAGTTAGGTGTAACTGGCCAGGTGCCCCTTCAACCAGGTTCACGTAAAACCCTCAAGCCCATGTCAAAGCCAGGCTCCAAGTTCAAAAAAGGAGCACCTCTCTTTTTAATACATTCATTTATATCGTTCTCTTTTGTGTTTATGGTTTAGGGTTTAGTACACAATTATTGCTTTTATTGTTGCAATTTTTTGATGGGACCTTGATTCAGTTAATGTATATGCATCTGGAAAGGACTTATGTACATTTAGTTTCTAAACTTATTCTTAATATTCATTTCCATTTCACACGCGCCTTACTTCATGTAGACTTGTGCCTTATGTTTTGCCTTGCATTTCGGCTCCAAGAGACCTTGGCTCCTTAATGCGCCTTGAGCCTTTAATATGAATGCTATCACCATGATATTTTCGAGGGGTATTTCCTTTGATGATACTTCAACTCATCAAGGCGGCTTAGAGCTTCCTCACTCATGGTCTTGCATCCAAGCCATCGTGACTTTGCACTGCCTTCTCTTCTACTTTCTACCAAGCACCCTCCTCAACTTCAATTGTCACATTGGGTCTAGAACTAGCCTATATCCCTCTTCAGTATAGTTGTTAAAGTCACACTCAGGCTCGTCAAGACTCACCCAAAGCGCCTTAACCTACTGGGCTACTACAAGTTAGGTGTAACAGGCCAGGTGCCCCTTCAACGAGGTTCACATAAAACCCTCAAGCCTATGCCAAAGCCAGGCTCCAAGTTCAAAAAAGGAGCACCTCTCTTTTTAATACATTTATTTATATCGTTCTCTTTTGTGTTTATAGTTTAGGGATTAGTACACAATTATTGTTGCAATTTTTTTTAATGGGACCTTGATTCAGTTATGCTGCGTTTCGAGGGGTATTTCCTTTGATGATACTTCAACTCATTCACTCTTCAAACCATGTGCACTCAAATAGACGTCAAAATAACTTCCACTTACTCATATTAAACACACCTTCACACACATGACACAGTGATATAAATGTGTGGATACACACACACACACAAACAGAGTGTGTCTGTGTGTGTGTGATAGAGAGAGAAATTCCCATCATATCTTTCCAATATATGTAATGAGACACTAATAAATCACGTGAAAATGACCAGTTCATTATGTTCCACCAACAAGAAAGTATTTACTTCCATACAATCGAGTAGTTTCAAATGAAAGAAAAACTCCACAAAGCCTCAGTTGAATGAAGGAAGTATCATTCAAGATGCAGTGAAGTAACTAGATGGTATTCAAAAGACAAAAAGAGCAATGCTTAACAGAATCTATTCAATTTCTCACTTGATTGTAAATGAACCTTGGAGTCACACGAACATCAAGCTGTGGATACTTGAGAAATGAGTGCCAACTAAGTAGACAGACAGCCACAATCCAACTATGTCCTCCTCAATGCGAGTACAAGCCAAAATCTAAAGGATGGTAGTGGCAAAATGATAAATGAATGCCAAACAAGACACTAGGGAACAAGGTTCACAATAAAGTAATCTTCTCCAATAGAAGAGCAAAATAAAAATAAGACCTCACTCTCACAGGCAGTGAGCTGCACTATAAGAATACAATAATAATAAGACTCCAGAAACTCCATCATTAATTGAAAAACCCTCAACGTTTAGTTCCACTCATCCAAGTGTTGAACCAGAAAGCGCCACTGACACAGGATAAAATAAACCTTGCTAGAAGGAAACTTTATATGCAAAACTAGAGAAGAGTGAGGATTTTCAAGGGAAACAGCTAAAAAAACAAATAATTTAAACAAATTGGTCATAACATAGATAAGCAAAACAAATCCACACCTATTTTAGGGCCAAATCAGTCTCAAAAGTCCCAAATACAAAAGGTGACAAAGTTCAAATTACAAAAAAAAAAAAAAAAAAAAAAAAAAATCCAGAACAACAAACAGAATACATTAATTAAGAATAGAAAAATTGCTAGGAGATCACACAAAAGATATACCGTAACCTAATGGTTCATGCCACGAATTACATGTACAAGATAATAACAGAATATAAGGGTTCGTTGGGATTACAAACCTCTAAATCGACCAACAGGCATGATCTGACACGGAGAATTGAACGAACCAAGCAAATTGGAATCACAATCACGAAGACCAGATTAAATTATTACTACGTATAACTGTGACAATATATACTCCTTTTATATGCGCGCGTGTGTGTGTATATATATAAAATCTATATATTTTTATATTTTTACTAAACAAAAGCTCTAACTTTATATTTGTACCATAACTCATTACTCATTAGAATGATAATTTATTTTATTATATATATGTTTTTTATTATTTATTTTAGGTCAGAGGTATTGATTTTTATTTTCTGTTTCAAATTTTAATTTCCTGAATTTATTAATAACCACCCACCTTCATTTATTTATCATAACTTAATTTAGTGTGCTAAATTAAACGGAGAAAGTGAGGCAGAGTCGTTGTTCCGTTTCTCCCACGAAGGCGGGGTGTGGTATACGAACTTAAAACTCGTTCCAGTGTGGGGAAGAAAGTTGGTATGAATGATATTCGGTTTAACCAACTCCATCCTAAACCTGTCTTGTTATCATCCTTAGTCACGTGATATTCTTGTTAATTAGTTGACAACTAATTACTTTGTGTTTTTGCTTTGACCCGAAATAGAACCAATGTTTCTACTTTACAGTGTGTTCAACATTGTTCGGAAGCTGGTTTGATAATATATATTTGTTGAAAAAAATTTGTAAGCAATAATATGAAAGTATGTTTGGTAAAAAAATGTTACAAGTTTAAAAAATTAAATGTCTAATTAAAAATGTCTTTTTTGAGGAATATTTTTAATTTTTTTTTTAAACAACGTTTTTGTTACAGTGCGAAAGCAATTCAAAACATCAATTTTTTGCTTCTAATTTTGGCCTATTTTGTTTAAGTGTTTTGGTACTATTTAAATGACAGCAAATATTACCAAACATGTTTCATCATTTTACTTTGCTACAATATATTGATAAAAACAAAAAATATGAAACAAAAACTATGGTCAAGGGAGTCTGCTACTCAATAAATTGTTTTGTATGCTATTAAAGAGTTATAAAATATGTTTTTTTATTAATTTTGTGACAAATAACAATATTTGTGTTTGTTCTATTTTATTATTATTTTTTTTTTTGTTAAAAAAAAAAAAATAAACTCAAGGTTTGGAAGAAAAAAAAAAAAACAGAAGTTTGTACTGTGGTGCCGAACCATTCAGACCATTCAATTTGAGAGAAAAAAAAGCTGAAATATGGTCTAATCATTCAGACCATTCAAGTTGAAAAAATGAAGTGGAATATCGCTGAAGAGATTTAAATCGATCCTAATTGAACCGAAACAAGCTACGTCAGTTGGGTCAATTGAATTTCATTCTCTTTCCTTCTTCTCTTCTTTTTTAAGTTAGCATTAGTTTTTATTTCATTCACTTTAAGTTTTGATGGCGCAGTTCATAGAAATTTGAAAAGGTTGTGTGATTAGTTTGAGGAAATGTTCACGCGTGGTGATGTAACCTTGAAATATTATTATCTCACATTTAGGTTCCTTTTGTTTGAGAATATATATATATATATATATATATATATATTTTGTCGTAAAATATTTATTAAGAAAAAAATATATTAAAATTTAACATAAATAATATAATTATCAATTTTTGATAAATTATTTTACTTACTTTACCGATGAACTTGATCTCAATCTTAACATAAATTTTTGTTAAATACCGAAAAAATAAAAATAAAAATATATATATTTTTTAAAAAAATATTTTACGTTCAAATAAAACAAACTAACCATTTGTTTACAAAACGTTAATTTAAAAAAAAAAAAAAGTATATCTTAAAATTAAAATTTCAAGTTTTCAAGGGGTAGCCCACCAAAATCTGAAAAAGAATATTAAAATATGTTGAGCAGGAAGTCAGAATCCAATTCTTCTTTCAATTCCACCACCAAATTCTTTCAAACCCATCTTCCTTTTTTCAAATTTCTGCTTATGCCCTCAAAAAAAATTTTATTTTATATTAATATCCCTATTTATGACCTCCAAAATTCATATAAAATTTTAATTGCCCCCAAAATTTTCAAATTACTTACTTGTTGTCCAATATAATTATGAATTTAGAAATAAATACAATTCGTGTCATCTCAAAATACATATAAATTTTTTAATTTTGACCTTTTTAGACAACTTTTGAAAGCTCAAATCTGGTAAAATAAAAAATATAAGTTGTACCATATTTTAGTGCAACATATATCATTGCCTTTAATCTGTCCAACAATCCAAAATTCTCAGGTCGTACACTTGAGAAATCATGAACCGAATGGAGTCCAAAATTCTCAAGGTTTGGGAGAACAACTGATGATTCAGCTTATTATCAATTTTGGATCTCGATTCAATTTATGCAGATGATAGATAATTATCAAACCAAATTTACATAAATATACTGATTCCAAGACCTACCCACTTTATTATAATTAATCAAAACAAATATAACGTTAATTTATTTTATTTTTCCTTGGCAAGGAACTAGATCGCCCATCATTTATAGAAAATTCGAACTCTGACCAACTAACTGAGAGCTAGAAGAAATATCACTGAAATACAGTTTCTGACCAATGGGGATAGTCAGTTTGTTGGAGAAGACGGTCAAAAAAATAAAATCAATTAAACTATATATTTGAATGCTCCAAACCTGAAAGCAAACAAATCAAAAGGGAAACATAAAAGATAAGATATAACAATACAAAATGAACTTTGTCTATCCCTTCAAAGACAATGTAGAAATAATACAACTTGAACCATGCAATTTAGATTTCCAATCTCTCTCTCTCCCATTTCTTAGATTCATGAACATATATGTATCAAACTTCTACATCACTGCACACTCTGCATTCACCAATTCATATTTGTCCTTCATATTGCATTGGCAATCATATCATTTGCATGCTAAGACAACAGGTCATGTATAAATCCATTTTGCATCAACATAAACTAATTATCATATTACCAAATTCTCATTGTAATAACAGAACACCACTCCCAAAAAAAAAAAAAAAAACTATGGTAATTGATCATTTTTCCCAAATACATACAAACAAACACCACACAACCAAAAGAAGCTATAAACTGCTGGTGTTGTGGCTTATAGCACCAGAAAATGCTAAAATACGCCTGGGTCATTCATGCACATCCCTTCACCATCATATATAGTTTATGATATGATAATTGAAGTTCTCAAAATCAGCACCATTACTATAAGGAAGAAAATATGCAAACATTCTTTCCTCTTCTCTATAGACTATAATCTATATATATGTGTGTGTGTGTTTTTCTTACTTTAGTTACTGAAAGCTGGAACCTGGGGTGTAAATAGCAAGATCAGGCCACCCGTTGCCATTACTCCAACAGCTAGAACCTCCTCCTCCACCATTTTGACTTTGAACACCCGAAAAGTTCTGTCCTTTATTGGTACTCAGCAATTCCATTGATGGGTTTTGAATCACAGTCGATCCCGAGCTCGAATTCGGGTTCTCTGCAAATTCACCCAGTTGCACACCCGTCCCATTTGGATTCAAACCCTCCATCATCAAGTCCCCAAATTGCCCAGTCGACGCCAGAAGCGAGCTGAAACTCCCCGGCACATCGAGCAATCGACGGTCCTGCTCGAACGTGGACACCGGAAAACCGTACATTCTTGATGACTCTGTTTTCGGAACAGCATGAGCCTGAGAAGTGGAAGAGGACATCGGTGAAGTAGCTGAAGGAGATGACGAAGAGCGTTTTGGGTTCGAAGAGCGCTTGACGTTTTTCCGGCTGCCGCCGCCGACGGGGATGTTCCGGAGAGCCCCACCTTTGGTCCAATACCTTCTGCAATTCTTGCAGAAATGGCGGGGCTGAGAGAGATTGTAGTTGTTGTAGTAACAGAACTTGGTGTTTGTTGAGTCACAGCGAGGACATTTCAGGTGTTCTTGTTCGGGAAATTGGGGTTGGATCTGTTGATATGTAGCTGGGTCTTGCATTTTTGCACCAAAATTACCTAAAATTGTGTTTTTTGTGATAAAAAGTTGGCTTTTGGTGAATTGGTATGGATAGATTGATTGATTTTGTGGGAGATAATGAATTGGGTTTTGAGGTATTTGATTAGGGTTTGGCCCTTGAAGGTGTAAAATGGAGAAAAAGCACAAAAAGGGTCAGATATTTTTGACCCCAAACATGGATTTTGAACACACAAACAAGAAGTCCAAGAACAAAACCAGAAGCTTCAACTTACAGAGTGCGACTTTCATGGACAGAAAAGGGAGTGAAATTTCAAAGATTTGAAGTTGAATTTGATGGACGAACATGCGAGAGAACTAAACATTTCAGGTGGGATTTGCGTCCTCCATAGATGAACAATCAAGAAAATGAAGAAAGATGAAGTAATTGGGTTTAAAATTCTGATAAGAGTGACCTGTGTCCGCGTGAGTACAACAACCAGACTTGATATAGAGAGAGAAACACACTCTCTCTCTTCTAGTGTTGGAGTTGGATTGCTAAGCTGTAGAAGAGTCTGGAGTTGGACAGCGCCACTAACTTCCACTAAGCATATATTTAATCAAAAAGTAATGTACTTTAATTAAAATAGAACTAATTAATTATATTCCTTATTCTTCGTTCCTCTAGGAAGCATAATAGAAACTTGTTTGATTTGTCAATGCCACTAAGACTGTTTAAATAAAAAATTAGAGAACAAATGTCAACTGCTGTGAGAATATATTCTTCTTAAACTTGAAAAAAAAAAAAAAAAAAAAAAATTTACAGGATGTTTTTGTTTCTTCTAACGTAGAGAGAGGTCTGAGGTACTAATTTTGTGAAAATTCATATGCATGGATAATATTGTAATAGTCTTAGTCCCACCTCTTTTTTTATTATTTATTATTTTATTTTTATTTTTAAATCTTATAAAATGATAAACAATTTTATCCTACTCAATTCAAAGCAAATTCATCTCTAAATCAACAAAATATTACTATTAAGAGTAGTTGACTATTTGAGTCATATCTTGACATTTTATTTGCTCCATAATAATTTCAATTATAATTTTTATCAAACACACCTAACTTTAACAAATAAAGTTATACTCATTGATGCTTTGAATTGACTTGTGAATCCACTAATATTAAGAATTTTTTAAATATATATATATATATCTATATATATATATATATATATAAACGACTTTGAATTATTTTTATATCTTTCATAAAATTGATCTACTTACTAATAATACTATATTCATTTATGTTTTGAATGAACTTGCGAAGCCATTCAAATGTGCAATTGCGAATTATATAAATAAAAATTTATACAGATGTGACATCCACTAGACAAGAAATAAAAAAGAAAAAAAAAAAAAAGGGGAGAGAGAAAAAACATAGCTTTAAGCAAATTGAGAATATTAAAAGGATTAAGGAAGATTCTGGTCACACATTACGGATATGAATTATGAGCTTAGACCCCATATATACAGCACAGAGTCACTCACACACACACACGCACATATATATATATATATATTTATATAAATGTAATCTCATGTGAATATAAAATGAATGAGAAAATGTAGGACTAGTGTCGGCTAGGCTAACACCACATTAATTACTCGTGTCTTAAGACTCTAATCATAGTAATTGCGCCAAGCCGCAAGCAGAAAGCCGAGCCGCATAGCTTAAAGTAAGCTTGCGTGCCATTCAAGCAGTAAAAGGCATCATAAATATTCCACTAGTCTAATCCTAATCGTCCATTTCTTGTCCCAAGACTAGTAGGAACCGTCCAACTACGCATCAACGAGGGATTGTTGCGTCGAGTGGTCGTCACCTCTCAGCCAATGTCACAAGGGACACGTGGCAGAACCCCACGATGATGATACTATAAGCACTATTATATGTTCAAGTGTACGTTTAAGTGTGAAAGTAGAAGTGGGCCAACAGAGTGTGAAGGCAGGCCCAATTGGAAACTATTACTTGCATTTAGAGTAACTTTGTGAGTGGAGTTGAATTTGATACTGTTTTTTTACTCGACACGTGTGAGTTTGTTTGAATTTGACTCCTTCTAACGAATTCAGAATATTAAAAACTCATATTTGTTTTTTTTTAATTATTGATCGAGACATTTAACTGCGTAATGGAGTTTGTTAAACTTTACACTTTTCAAACCTTTTGTTTTATCTTATTTAATTCACTGTTTTTTTAATCTTTAAATAACTATTAACTTTTTAAAATTATAAAAAGGATACATACAAAAATAATCACAAATCTATAATTGTGTCAAATCTTCTCCAATTTAAATATAAAATTCAATTTATTTCTCACAAACAAATTTTTAATATAAAATAAATTTTAAATTAAAATCTGAACTATGCAACTACAACTCAGCAGAATTCTAATTGCACTTGACATTGTTGTCAAGGTTGAATCATGCTGATCACGTGACTGCTGTGAAATTGCTTGTTGATGATATGTGTGGGGCCTACCTACCAGCCATGCCCCAACCCTTATTGAAATTTAGTACTAATATGCGAACAATATGGTCATACACACAAAGGAAAAAACTCATAATAGACAAACTCATGATAGACATTCTTATGATGGATCTGGTTTCCTCACTGATTGAATGAGAGGACGCGGTCTCAATTTATTATTAGACTTGCCCTATGAGAAACATGATCGCTATGGTAATATTTATAGGAAATGCATTTACATTCTCAGTTTTCTCAGTTAAATTTCAGTTGCTTTTTGGAAAAAAATAAAATTACATAATTATCTTCAAAAAAATAATAAGCACTCTACTATTTTTATTACAAAATGTATCATTCACTCCACCTTAAATTAGAAAGTTGAATTGCAAATTGTTTGGCCTCTAAAAGTGGTTGGCTCCGATGGAACAGGATGGACGTGTTAGAAATTGTAGTAATTTTGAAGAGAGATCCAAACAATATTCCGGAAGGAAGATTGTGAGACCAGACGACTGTGATGAGGTCTAGAATGAACACGTCAAGGTTCTTTCTGCCTTTGATAAAGGACTTCGGGAAAGTTAACTGGTTAGGAAGAACTACGTTACTTATGAAAGTAATTGAATTGACTGTAAAATTATCTAGTGAAAAGTAAAGTGCATGACTAAGACTAATTATATTGAAAGTGCATTGCAATGAAAATTAAAGTTGTATTGAAATGTTATGTTTGATTTGGCGTTGAACAGGCCTTCTAAATTACAATATCATGCCCTATTTATAGAATTTAGTAGTGGTGGCTTGCATGTAACCATTTACTTCCTAAACTATCATGTGTCTCTTGACTTTGCATATAACCGCTTCTTCCTTGGCTGTCATGTGTCCCAAGACTTTTCATTGTAATATCATAGTACATTTCCATTGAACCGACCAGCTTCCTAGGCTGCCATGTGTCCCATGACTTTGCATGTAACTGCTCACTTCCTAGGCTGTCATGGGACACATGACTTTACATGTAACCGCTTGTAACCGCTCGCTTCGTAGGCTGTCATGTGTCCAACGACTTTGCATGTAACCGCTCGTTTCCTAGGCTGCCATGTGTCCCATGACTTTGCATGTAACCACTTGTAACCGCTCACTTCTTAAGCTGCCATATGTCCTAAGACTTTCCACTAGAATACCGTAGTACCTTTCCATTTGACCGACCAACTTCCTAGGCTGCCATGTGTCTCAAAACTTTCCACTGGAACGTCGTAGTACCTTTACATTGGAATCGATCAGGGTAATCTTCTACTGGAAAATGAAAAATAAGGGTGTAAACACAAATATTATGTTGGCGAATTATTTTAACAAGCCAAGAAAAAAATATTTTATTTTGACTAGTGAAAAGGAGGTTTTATTTTGACCAGTGAGAAGGAGGTTCCTCCTCATCGCCAATGTGACATTTTGACTAATATTTTGTTCAGTAAGGAGGTAGGAGATTCCCCCTCATCACCACAATGATAAAGAAAGTGAGACATGCCCATTTTAAATTTAAAATAGGGTCGCGTGCTGATAAACCTCCTGTGATATTCATATTGTGCGTATAACCCCCTAATGTTTGTTAATGACTTTTCTACGTAAAAACATGTGTGAATGAACGCTTTTTGCCTGTTGATCAATATCGGAGCTGCGAATAGACTTAAATACCCTCGTCTCTATGATTTTAAAAAATAATTAAAATAGCATGAAATGTGAAAATACAAAAAAGTTTAACAAAAAAGTTGTCTTTGTGCATCAATGGAATCTGCAACCCTCATCGCCGGCGACAGCAGCCGTGATAGCACCGGAAAGTTCATCCATCTACGACAGTCATCTGAAAACTCCATTGAAACCAACTAGAGCATAACTGAAGCTTTAATCCCTTGCGAGCTTTTGATTATCACCGATTGTGGGTGTCACTTATTAAACGTTGACATGACCCGTTGACAAGTTAATACAACCCTAACCAAGGCCCTCGTGGCAAGTTGAAAAGTCAAAAGTCTGGAGGGACCAACCCTCGAGCACCCCAGGACCTGGTATCACACCAGGCCCACCAAGCCTCGAGGGACCAACCCTAGAGCACCCCAGGCCCTGGTATCACACTAGGCCCACCAAGCCTTGAGGGATTAACCCCCCAGCACCCCAAGCCCTAGTATCACATCATGCCCACCAAGCCTCAAAGGACCAACACTCGAGCATCCCAAACCTTGGTATCATACCGGGCCCACCAAGTTTCGAGGGACTAACCTTCGAGCACCCCAAGCCCTGGTATAGCACCAGGCCCATCAAACCCCGAGGGACCAACCCTCGAGCACCCCAAACCCTGGTGTCGCATCAGGCCTACCAAGCCTCGAAGGACCAACCCTCGAGCATCCCAAGCCTTGGTATCGCATTAGGCCCATCAAGCCTCGAGGGACCAACTCTCCAGCACCCCAAGCCCTGGTATCACAGCAGGCTCACTAAGCCTTGAGGGACCAACCCTCAAGCACCCTAAGCCTTGGTATCATACCAGGCCCATCAAGCCTCGAGGGATCAAGCCTAAAGCGCCCCAAGCCTTGCTACCACACCAGGCCTACCGAGCCTCAATGGACCAACCCTCGAGCACCTCAAGCCCTAGTACCATACCAGGCCGTAACGCATCAAAAGATTGGAACCCTAGAGAGCTCGCAATCAGAATACCATAGGTTCATGTATAACACGAAACGAAGGTAGGGCCTTCGCAACTGTAAGGAATCTAAACTTGGGAAACTTAGGAGAATCTTGGATTGGTGGAGGAGAAGTCAAAACGTGCCTTCGCTTTTAGCAAGGCCCAATTAACAAGAAGATAATGGGATTATACACATTATAACAGCAAACCTTAATATCACATTTAATACTGTGTCAGGCTCGACCAACCGACAGCCAAGCAACATTTAATGCCCCAGTTGAGGGAGAAACGACATGGCAACATAGTGTAAGGCTCGATGAGAAGATTAGACTCTTCAGACTCCTAAACCCTCAAGATTACCCATGTGATCTTGACTGGGAGCCATGCATGCGAGAAACCATGCATTGAAGAAACCATTGGATAATGACTAATGGAATCCAGGCTTATAAATAGTATTATCCCAGGAATAACCAACCAGAAAAGGCAGCTATCATAAGAAATTTTATACTTGTCTTACCACCACCTCAATCTTGACGATTGGTCTTCTCCTCCTCCTCCTACACCAAACATCTTCTCTGTTTTTTTCACAGTTGTACTTCTGATATCACCATTATACACTTATTCATTGTCTTGATAAAAAAGAACCCCTACACCGATCAAACAGTCGGGCGAGTTATAGAGACCAAATACTGTTCCAGCGATACATACTTACAGTCTTAGTTTCAGTCCAGTGAGCCCAATAACTTCAGCGATCATATCTCAAAATCCATGAGAGTAATTTCTAATGGTGACTAAACTAAGAGTTGCATGCTGGTTCTATCTATTCTCGTACTGAAGTGTGTAGTTGATCTAAACTGTTTCAACAGACTGCAACCGGAAAGCTTCAGCGGCCATTAAACCAACAAGTTTCACCAATATCGTTCAGAACCTTGCTCACCTAGAACATCCTCGCAGTGCATTTTTTCTTGCTTGTCGCTGTTGCAAACTTGCAATTCATTCATCCTTGTTCACCGCTATTCAATTCGAACCCAAGTCCTTGTTTTACCGCCGGTAAGTTCAGTACTGCCATCGCCAGGTGGTTCCGTCCTTGTCATCACCGTAAGTTCAGTTTGGGCCACTTGTTAAACCGAGTAGAAAGAGATCAACAACTAGGTCTGTCTTCGACATAAACGTAACATAGATGTAGCTGGGCCTTCGCCGGACTGAAATGGGTTTGAACGTTGCTAGCTTTTTTGTTGGGTTTTTGATGTGCTGATGACAATATGTTAATTAGTGAAACTTGCTGGCTTGGACACTGAAGCTCGTCGGAGTTAATTGAGTTGTTGAAGCTTCGGGTTGCTGCAGTTGGGATGAAGAGGAAATATGGTGAAGGGCAATTACGGAATATAAAAGGGCAATTTTGAATTTTATGATTTAAAAATAGTCATATGGCATGCCCATGACCAATTGACGGTCATTTTCTATTACCGGAGGTGCTTAGTTGCAACATTGTAATATCTGGTATGGATTTAGGCTGTGTTTGGTGTGCATGAATATAATAGAATGCAACTTGAAATGGAATGAGAATGAGAATGAAAATAGAATGAAATGAGTATTCTCATTCCATTGTTTGGTGTGACATGGTGAATCATTATGGAATAGAATGATTATTACTATTCTATTGTTTGGTTGACTATCATTAAATCTTGAATGGAATGAATTTTCTCAAAAATACCCTTTTCATTGGCTTACATTACTTTTTAATAAAATTAATCTAATAAATATTCTGACGATAAATTATGGGATGTTATAAGATGCTCAATATTGGCATTGAAAAAAATAAAGAAAAACCTTAAAATAAAATAAAATATTATTTTTAATGAGATATTAATCTTAATAAATGACTGCAAAAGGGAAAAAATCTGAATTCCCAAAAGACACAAGCACAAAATCGTAGCCACTTCCCAGCCCCATGGTCACAATAATGTTCTAGAATTGGCTTTAAATTTTGGACAGATTCAAGTTTTACAACTAAACCAATCTGCAATGATTGAAGACACACAAATAAATTTGTAAGTATAATTTTATTCAAAAAATGGTTGAATAATTAACCTAAGAAGCTAATGTAAAAGTTAAAAAAACTATATATATATATATAAGGTTGAAGGTCCTGCAACTTTTTATCAATGGTAGCCTTGTGTATATTTAGAAAAGAGGGAAGGTGAAAGACCTTTACCACTTCTAAAAAAGAAGGTCAAGAAATTTGAAAAATGGAATGTGAAAGATTTTTTGTCTATGCGAAAGATTTTTGCCTGTTATTAGAACGTAATGAAGGGCTTATTGGGAATATTGCAAAAATATTTAATCTTAATATTGAATGGAATGGTCATTCTATAGGTTTAGTAATGGAATGAATTTTCATTCCAATGGAATGACCATTCCATTCCATTCCTGCACACCAAACAGATGAATGGTTGGAATGGGGCATTCCATTCCATTCCTACACACCAAACGTAGCATTATATATACAAAATAAACTATAGGGGGTGTAATGCGCACAAGATCAAAATTATAGGGGTGTTATGTAGACTTTACCCATTAAAATGAAAAATTAAGACTTCATTTTTTAAAATTATCTTTTCCTTTTTTCACATTTTTAATTAAAAACAAAATGGACAAATGAGATTCGATCGTTGCACTGAAGAAAAGGTTCCCCTCACTGGTAAAGAAGCAAAGTATTTTTCAAATTAGATCGGGTCAGAGGTGGGGCATGTGGCCTCGCACGACTGCTAAGTGCTATTATTCTCGTCTGGTAACATTTGCTCTCTAAGTTTTAGGCTTGTACCATATATTCTCAAGAAGTTACATCAACCGGCCATACAGATAAATGGAGATTTGATTCTCTTTATATATTATTCTCAATCAAGTCACGACAAACATCAACAAGTGGTATTATTACCGTAGCGACTTTGAAAGTCGTGAAATGATTATGAAAGATGATGAGAGTGCAAATGGACTTTCAAGTGTTCCTCATGCACAAGGACTATACCTCTTTTATTTATTTTTTCTTAGTTCGATCCTCCGCTAGCTTTCAAGTGTTCCTAATTCACAAAATCTATACTCGCTCAAAAAAAAAAAAAATAAATAAATAAATAAAAAACTAGTTGAGTTTGGACCTCATCTACCAACTCTTTTATCAAACAAGTGAAAAACTCTTCTCTTCTTAAACTCATAAACACAATCTCAGGGTAAGCTGCTTCAGAAGGAAAGGTTATCCAGACCATACAGAGGAACATTACTGTGACACTTAAATTAGCAAGAACACAATTAAAAAAAATCTATACTAGATAAAAAGGTAGTATTAATTATGAGAAAGAAAAGATAGTACAATTATCATGTTCGTATAACTAAATAAAAGAAAGACTAGTCTACATCAATCTTATTAGGTAAAAAAAAATGATACCTAAGTTTTATTATGCAAGTAAAATGAGGAAAAAAAAAAAAAAAATTAAACATAACCCTCTTCCTAACCGTATCCTCCAAATCCACTTTATAAAGTGAAAATACAGTCCAAGGGGTTTGTCAACCCCTCCCTCTTATCCTAGCCTTCCTCATTTTTAAAATCAAAGATCCAAACGCAATCCTATAGTTCCAACTTGCAAGCAATGTAACCGGATAATCCAGTTTCATTTTAGCAACTTGAATACGAAAATACAAATCAATTGAAATCATTGCCCAAAATAAAATAAAAAAGAAAGAAAAAAAAATACTAAAATTGGGGAAATAATAACAAAAATCAGTCTACAACCATCCTAGAAAGGAAAAAAAAAAAAAGAATTTTAATGGCAGATGCACTGCAATTTAGCTGCAGCACCCTTTCCAACAAGATTCAAGTAAAAGCTACATTTACCGTAAAACTAGTCGCAATATTGGACATCCCTTAGTATTGGTTGTAGGAGAGCTACAATCACATTTTCTTTTCCCAACTTCAACCCAACACAAGAAGAAAAGAGCCCCATCTTTTGACAAGAATGGGTGAAAAAATAAAAGAAATAGCTGGTGAAGAGGAACTGGGGAGAAGAAAGCAAGCTGACTGCCGAGGAACGAACACAAGTTGCTTCCCTGTGGATTCTGAGACAGCCGTTTCTTGTCATCGATAGTAAAATCCCGTGCTACAGATCTATGAGGCACTTCAGATTTTAAGAAATGGTGTTCAAGTCAGTGGTTGGTGGGAAGCAGAAACAAGCCTTCTCCAACAGCAATCCAAAAACGATAACCGAGTAACAATACATTTTCTTCCTGGACCGTCTTTATGCATAGTACATGTACAGGCTGTTTGCAGCAGCACAGGCAATTGAGTTTTCAGTTGGGTGCCAAGCTAGGTGGAGCAATTTTGTTGTGAAATCAAAAGAATTCCCATTGGCATCGACTGTTTGGCTTTCTGCTCCTGATATGAACATCCCAGCATTTTTTTAGTAGTAGTAAATTGAAATTCCGTGTCTAAAAGGCAAAAAAAATCGCAAAAACAATGGAAAGAAGACAAGTAAATCTTGACCTCGTCTTACAACACGTGTTATACTGCTCAGGGATCTGGTAGGCCTCGAAGGAGTCTGAACTTGTCTCCTAGAAGGGGAATACCAAAGTTTTTATGATTATTAACATTACAACATCATATCAACATCTGTCATATAACTGACATCTTTTTGGGAATGATACCTCATGGGATTTTTACTAGCTTCCAAAGTGGTTGCTTCAGTACTGCCCGCATCACAACCGAACACACGGAATAGATTGCTGGGATAACATTAACAGAACTTTTTAGATGCGATTCCGAAGGGAAACAAATATAATGACAAAATGAAACAAAAATCTGTGCAGACCTGTAAGAACCTGTTGCCAGTCGCCGACCATCCCCACTCAAGCAACACTCAAATTTATCAAAGATGGAATCATTTTCATATAAATCACATAGCTGGACACAATACAGAACAGAATAATCAGTTCTCCTACATATCAGAGAAGCAGAAATTTTGGGTAAAGTTTTATCTGAAGAAAAAAATTCACCTTTGGTCTTAAATACTCATGAACCTGGAAGGTAGAAACTGGACCCGAATCCATATTAATGTCCCATAACTGAAACCAAGTAAAAAGGATTTCAGTGAGAAAGACAAAGGCAATCTAAGTATACCAGGACCAAAGTTCAAATTTTATGTTCTCGACGGAAAATTGCAGGCAGCAGACATTCTCATGATATTTAGTATTTAATACACCCTAAGATAATTGTACAAAGCTTTCCAAGTGAGAACAAATGAAAACATGTACATAAGACATACATATATGTATAACAATGCAAAAAAGTATCAAATACTGAGCAGTGCACTAATTTCTGCATGACTGATATTACTTTATATACATACATACATACATACATATATATATATATATAAACTTGTCACGTTGCATCCAGTAAATATTTCTGTATAAAGGACAGTTCAACAAATTTAGCAATCCAATGAACCAAAATCAATTTTTAAGGTAAAAAAACTATTGTCAAATCACCAGTTAAATTAATCAAAAACCAATTGTTTAGCATCAAAAGTATATTGTCAATCAAAGCAAATCAATAACAGCAACAATCTTCAACACCTAAATCATGCAAAGGCTCGGATGAATCTAGGATTCCGGTGAGTCAAACCTCCAAATCTACCCAAGTTGTCAGTGACCATGACCTCCCCTATCATAGTACCATCTGCATTGGCAAAGATATCTGCACGAGCTCTCTTTCTTTTCGAAATAAAGAAATCTGCAAAAGCCCAAGATGGGACATTCCTACACCAATTATTTTGCTAAAGTTTAACCCTCTGACCACTAACTCCAAAGCAAATATGCCTGGAAGTATCATGCCACCCCCTCCTGATCACTTTCCAAACTCTAAACTATATGTACCCAATCTTCACAAATACTTATAAAATTAACTTTAATTTCCATTGACAAATTGTAATTTGTTTCAAGAAGAATAAACTAAATATAGTGAATTGTGACACCAAAAAAAAAAGTTGTTCTGATACGGAAGTACAGCGTCAAGACTTAAGGGCCTCTTAGGGTGCAAACGAACCGATCAAACAGGAATATTTTACTCCAACTGGGCTGAAAGACTCCATTGAGTTCAGGCTCAGATCAAGCACCAATTCTTGGCTCCTCTAGTTCAAACTTGGGCTCACCACTGTCTGGTGGCCAAGCTTGAGGAAGAAAAGCCCCAAGTCCCAAATCAATAAACAAGTAACATCCAGATCTGAAAACCTTAGAAAAGATTTCAGAAGCCAAATTTTCAAAATCAAATCATCATATCATGACATTACAAGTAACCTGAAAGATCATTGAAGAAAATAGTTCAAACAAGAATAGGATCAGAGAATTTCAGAGATATTTTATAGAAAAAATGACCAGATAATAAAAAGAATAATAAGATAGAAGACTAGGAGATAACGCTGTGAGGAAGAGAGGATTACTGGAATTCAACTGGCATTATCATTACCAAGCAATCATCAAAGAACGGGTTCATACACCTTTCCATCACCTCCTTTCTCTCTTATCTACTCTTTTCTCCCCATTGCACAATTTTCAGTCTCCCACCAACCAAGGAAGAAGGTTCTAACTCACAGTTGACTATATCTCCTCCCAATATTGTTATATTTATTTGATGATGGTGTAATAAACTTCAAAGAAATATAAAAATGTTCCCCCTTAATTTTAAAAAGTTATTTATTACATATATATAACATCTTTGACTAGAAATCACGACTGCACCAAGCAAAAGACTCGTCTTGCTCAAGCTTGTTCATTACAAAGTGAGCTTGAAAACTCAACTTGTGCTAGTACATTTATTTGGAGTAATGAGTTTGAAACGATTTTGAGCTGTTCATGAACAGTTTTTTTTTTAATTTATGGTGCTATGGCCAAAATAGGAACTTCAATTTGAACACTAGTCTAAAATCCTCCTTGAAAATTTATTAGCCAACAAAAAGTTTGATATATGTTAACCCCACGGGTAAACGAGTTGGCATAAGGTCTCTGGGTCATACCCAGGTGTCTTTTGTCCAATTCCTGGGAGCGTAAAAAAAAAAAATTCCTCCAAGCATTTACTATCCGTGGTTTTGGGGTGATCGCATGTATCCAAAGGATTAGGGGACACCCTCTGTTGTCCCAAAAATAAATAAATAAATAAGTATTTGCCAATATGTACAAAATTCCATGATAAGTTCCCTATTACATAGTAATCATTCATACAAAACTTTTAGTCTATTCCACACAACCGTTCACCTTATGAAGTCCGAATGCCTAAAGCATTCCAGTAGACATTTTTTTTCCATTAAAAAATCAACAACGAAAATTCAATGAAAAATAGAGGGACTTCAGAAAAATACAAGCTTAAAGATAGTTAAATCGTTTAAAGCTCTTTCAATTTAGTGGTAGATGGAACAAGGAAAGGAAATGCATTCATGCTAGTAGATGATATTACTCAGCATATGTGATAGTTAAAATAAAGAACGGTACTAGCATATTACGTGCAAATAATAAAAATAATAATAATTAAAAAAATAAAGAAAAACAAAGCTGGAGTTTTGAGCCAATTTATAAGAAAATGGCACTGTAATATTTCATCTTTTGAATCAATGCAGAACTGCTATTAAAAGAAAAGCTGTACTGTTACGCAGTAAGAACTTCAATCCAGTCCTACCAAAGGAAACGAACTTTAATTTGCGATCTCCTAATACAAGTTCTCACATCTACTTTCCATAAACGCAAAAAAGGGTGGTAGTTGACAGGTTCTCTGAGTACGCAGTCTTTATCCCGGCACCGGATGAGTGCCCTACAGGGGAGGCAGCAAAGCTTTTCCACAAGTATGTGGTGAAGTATTTTGAACTATCTACTTTTCATAGACGCAAAAAAGGGTATAAACAAGATAATCCATGTCAGTACTCTGTTCATGCAGTTATTATTGTTGTCAAATTCGTGAGTTTCAAATAGGGTCATTACCCAGTGTGGTCGTTTTCAACCAAGGTTGCTGGGAGATAGACTGAAAACAGACCTATCCTATTGCAATCAGGGTGGTCTCGTCAACTGAGGTTGCTGGAAAATAGGCTTGAAACGGACTTATCTTTGGGCATTATTTGCACAAAGTTGCTGCTTTTAGCATTGTACTTGTGTTCTCACACTTGAGAGTCAGTGCACCAACCAATCGTATTAAATATATATATATATAAGAAATAAAAACCCTATTCGTCAACATTGAGACCTTACGAAATTAAAGCGATTCAGATTTTTTTTAGGGTTTGCATGCATAGCAGGTGGCCGGGACAAAATTCAATGTGATGGAGGAGGGCCAAACCTCCTCCCCCAACCCGCCGGTGGGCTCTCCAAACCGGAATACATCCTTACCCACCTCTTGGTGCCGCATCAAATTTTAAGAACTTGCAGTATCACAGTGCAGTTCGTGGAACAAAGGTATCGATCAAAGAAGATGATGTCGCAGATGAAATTAATTATTGGTCTTCATCAGTGGTTGGCTATGTGATGGGGAAGAAACCCTATTATCATTACTTTAAATCTTATGTGGAAAAACGTTGGTCTAAGAATTTTACTCTGCTTTATCTTAAAGATGGATTTTTCCTAGTTCGATTCCATGATGATACAGATGTCACGAAGGTTTTGTCACGAATACATACATTTGAGGGAAGACCTATAATCCTCAAACGTTGGAGTAAGAATGTTAATCTCAAGAAGGAAGTGCTGGAAACGGTCCCAATTTGGTTGAAGATATGTGATCTCCCAGATCACTGCAGGAAAACACAAGTTGTTTCGTTGATCTGTTCATCGTTTGCCAAGCCAATATATATGGATGATACAGAAATTAATAGGGAGAAAGGTTGATATATTCGAGTTATGGTTGAAGTAGATGTCAAGGAAGAATTACTTGATACTATGGAGGTGGATATTCATGGGGTTGATTGTGTTCTTGAATTTGAATACGAATGGAAGCCGCAAATTTGTACACTCTGTCAGAAAATTGATCATGTTTCTGGTCATTGTCCTCAAAGAGATCTACAGACAAAGCCGAAGAAGAAAAAATTGGTGGATAAATGGGTAGTGAAACAGAAGGGAAAACTGGTGGTTCAAGATGTGGATGAGGTGCTTGAAGAAACGTCTCTAAGAGATAATACGGTTCATCAACCTATTATTTCCCTTCCAACTTCAAACACTTTTCAATTATTACAACAAGATGATGCAGAAGAGGAAATGGTTGCGGAGACACCTATTCCAGATCAATCAGTGGTTGTGGTAGAGGAGACCCTTATTGTGCATGTAATAGACAATATACCAGAGGAAGTGGTTGTAGAGACTCCAAGTGGGCAAGTTAATTCAAGAATTACAACAAGATGTTGTGATAGTAGAGACCCCCATATTGCAGGTTGAAATTTCCTCAAGACCACAAGCTAACAAAGGTAATATTCCAGAGGTGGTGCTGACTGATCCAAGTGCAGAACATTCTTGTGAGGGCATTGATAAATCTAAAGATGGATTATCTCCAAAAGTTACACAGAGTGAGCAAAAGCCCAAAACGAAATTTACTGCATCTCGGATTTCACCAATGGTTACTAGGAGTCAAGGGGGTGCTTCCCTACCCCACACCACTAAATGATCGCATCATGGAATGTGAGGGGCTTAAACAAGCCCAGGAGACAGAGAGGTTCGACAATGGATCAAAGCCAATGACCCTCATTTTGTCTGTCTTCAAGAAACAAGGGTGAGAAGACCCAATTTTGATGCTATTACAGAAAATATTAATAGGAGATGGAGTTGGATCCACAATTATAATTCTCATGTTTTAGGAAAACTTTGGATTGGCTGGGATCCAGTAATGTTCTCAGTTACTATGATAAATGAGATGGATCAATGTCTCCTTAAAGTCCATATTTTACAGACTGGGGAGGTTGTTTATTGTACTCCAGTTTACGTTTCTAATACAATTGCAGGTAGAAGAAGACTTTGGAGTCACTTAATTTCTCAGGCCTCAATTGTTATTGGCCCTTGGCTTGTGGTTGGTGACTGGAATGGTACAAGATTTCATTCAG